CTATAGTTGTTCTGTATCCATGTGTTTTTAAAACCTCATTTTGATTTATTAATTTTCAGTAGACTCACATTTTCAATCTGCCACAAAGCTAATTTGAACATCAAAAATTGAATTAAAAAAAATAAAATAGGGAATTAGAAAAATTTAAGAATCAAATTTGGACCTTTAATTTTAGTAAAATAAAGTAATTAATTAACATTAGAAAGTGCGTTTGGCAGGTTCTCCGTTCAAGGAAAGACTTGAAAGCATTTTAAGTGCCTATAATGTACACGCTAAAGGAACCCAAAATTTGTTATAATTAAGTTGGTATTAATTAAATAATCAATGAAAATTAATCTCTTAAATTTTTATGATTAAATTATGTTTTTAGCCTCTAGATATTTATACTTCAAAAAAAAAACCTCTCGAATTTAACTTTGGTTAGATTCAGAATTTTTGTTCACGAGTTTTGTTACTAACTATTATAGTCCAAATAACTTCAAATTCAAAGCCTTTGTTACTAACTGTTATATTCAAAATAACTTCAAATTCAAAAGCTTTGCTACGGTGTATTATATTTAAAATAACTTCAAATTCTTGGTACATATATGAGGTAAAATTAAAAAAATAATTAAATCGAGAAAATTTAATAGTTTATAGGGTAGAAAATCAATATCGTTACAACAATTTATAGAAAAATATTACTTACATATAATTGAAACAAAATAAGTTTCGAAATTGTCGGCAACAATTATTAGACACCTCTCGAAAAATATTACATATTTGTGTGAAGGTCAATTTTTTAGTGCAAGATTCAACTTCTATTCCAAATACGATCAAAGATATGAATTCTCATATTTCTTCTATCAAACAAATATCAATTATAAATTATTCGAAAAAATAAAATTACAATTTTTTTAGTACAATAAATGTAGAAATGAGAGGTTAAATCTCTGGTCTCTAAATAATGTAGAATATGTTTTAGCCGTTAAGTAAGTGCGGGTTAACAATAAAATTATAACTTATAAAGAAAGATAAAAATTATACCTAATTATTTAAATTATGTTTATACCAACGACAAAACTTATACCTAATTATTTGAATTATGTTTATCGTTAAGTAACTTCAGGTTAACAATAAAATTATAACTTATAAAGAAAGACAAAAATTATACCTAATTAGAATTATGTTTATATCAATTTAGGTTACTTTTATTTAATTATTGTGTGTCCTCTATGAACTTATTTTAAAATTTTATGTAAAATAATTCACCGAATTATATTTTAGTAGTAATAAATTGATCCTGATTCAACACAATTTCATACTTTGGTTTAATTAGTTTGAGTTTGATATCAACTAAACTTACTAGTTATGTATGAAAATTTTGTTTGAAACATTATGATGATGTGAAAAATCAAATAAATAAAGAAACTACTTCTTCTCCTTCTTTTTCACGGGTCACCGGTCCATCATGTTGTATTATAAAATTTTTAAAATAATAATTATGTCAATAAAGTCACTCGTCAGACATACTTATCAATTTATGGTGTTAATGTAACTGTATAAGAAGATTGGTGTAGGTGCAAAATTAATTATTTTTAATGAGGTGATTAGATTGCTTATTTAGACAATTTAATAACTCATTTGGTTATA